TAGTCTGGAAAAAGTTGGTTTGGTAAAGTTCCTCCTCAGGTGATCATTGACAGCACATTCAGAAGCTGCGTCCCAGTTTTGGACAAAACCCCCTGTATCACGAAAAAAATCATTCTGCCTAAAAACTGGTCTAGAAAAAGATGATCTGGTAACGTTTCTCGTCGCATTGCTATAGTTAGCTTATACACAGGCAGCATCCCAGTTTTCGGACGAAATCCCATGTATCTCGGAAAAGCGTCCTCTCCCGCCCGATCAACATCTAGAAAAAGTTGGTCTGGTAAAGTCCTTCCTCGGATGGCAATGCTCCCCCTTGTGCCGCCTCTGGACTATTTGTAATAACAGGAAGTGTAGGAATGGTGTCAACAAGTCCTCTTTGGATTTTTTAAGTTTAGCTAGCTTAAAATCAGACAGAATAAAAAGAAGACTCTATAGAGATACACTCTTTTTTTATAAGAACCAATAAATTTAATCGAAAATCGAGGCTGGATTGTTCTTAATTTGTTCTTAAATTAATAGAGTGTAATGTAAGCAGTGCAATTGCTAGCTTTTTCATTCAAGGAAGGTGTTCAGGCCTCGTTTGCCAACAAAGTAAGGGGAGCAACCTTCATTTGCCGACAAGTTTGAATATTCACCAAAAAAGCACCCACACATGGCTAAAAATCCTCTTTTTGGGATAAATCGTTGTTTAAAATCGCCATTTTACAGCAGCACAGCCTGAGCTTGTTCTTAATTTGTCTTAACTTTTGACTAATTTTAGGACGCGTGTTTTTTTAAAATTGTTCTATTAGGAGTTTAGCCAATGATTTACAAATTTATTAGGGGCATAACATGGGTATTAATTATGGCATTTTTGTTCGGTAAGGAATACTAATACAGAAAAAGGAGTAGAGTCCAGCATTCGTAGAGTGGAGATGAGCCAAACAGTAAAAGGTCGTAAAAGAATTGATTCCCCTCTCATTTAAAGGAGTTCCACGACTCGACCTCGGGCTTGCACTAAGGCTCTGGTACCCATAAAATATTTGATTCTTTGACCAATTTGTATGGTGACTTGTGTTAGTTCATGTTTGAGTTTTTCCCAACTCTGAATAACTCAATGTTTCCAGGCCTTGGTTATTAGAGAAAAAGTTAATCTATTAATCTTAAGGATGTTTTGAGTTCTACACAAAGTTCCTACAAAGAACCCAAATCTATTTGCCTACATACCACCGGCACTTTTCAAGGAATATGATTCTTTCTGCGTCATCTTCACTTTATTCAGCCACTGCTGTGAACATTTAGAGCTAAGAATTGAATTTCATTCATACTTTTGTTGTTGACACTGTTTCCAGGAGCGTGCATACTGCAAAGAGCTCAGTGGTGGATTTAAGGGGGCAACTAGGGGCAGTAGCCCCTCCCTCACCGAGTTGAAGCAAGTCTGGCGCCTCTTTTCGGGAATGGTTTGATACAATTATTGTAAAGATTTTCTTTAGAACGTGAAGAGAGAGCCTTCTGTCAGTACTTGGGGTCTGAAATTATTGCAGATAGCGTACTCTCATCACTAATTTCTGAAAATTTTTCAGCTCTCACACTACCAACTGCCCCTCCTTCGAATTTGTTCTGGATCCGCCTCTGAATTAGAGCTGAAAATGAAATGCTCCTTACGCACTAAATTGTGTAACCAATTCGATAGAATGTTTGTCCCAACCTTGATATTAAACTATATTAAAGCATGTGCCCGTTTTTCTAAGGTATCGCTTTCCAAGGGATGCTGCAACGGAGATTGAGGGGCCTGTTTGATATTTATAAATCTTAGGATAAGATGAAGGATCTCTCATTCTGAATGCATATTGAAGCATGGGACCAGGATGCATGATCCCTTACTGTTCACCACTTGAAGTCACTCTGCTCAGGAAAAACACTATTTAACATTCAAATGCTGATAGTTAATGACAAAGTTCATGTTGAAAATTCTGTTGCTGCCAGCAGTTGCTGCAACGCGAATGTCTTTTTCTAAGCCGTTATGCGAGTATACATCAAGAATGTACTGTTTGGCATGAAACAAAAATTTACGAATGTCCGGATCAACAGAATCTATAAACCAAAAATTAAAGACCACGAGGAATATTGCGGATTGAGAAGGCTAAACAGCTTCGGGCGGGGGGGCCTAAACATGTGAGAAACCAAGAGCAGTGAGATTTTGTGCATGGTTTTGAGCACATTCTGGAAATTATTGCTGGCTAAACACCCTCAGTCCCCCCTCTCCCTGATTCCGCAGTGCCTGGTAACTGTCTGAAAGCAACCTGCTACCTTTGGCTGGGCTTTGTACGATAAGGGTATCACCTGCTGATTAGATGTTCAATTATTATGCAAATGAGAAAGGTCTTTCCGCAATAAATATTCATTCTTTGGGTTGTTTTTATGTGGTTTCTTTACTTTGTGCGCATAAGGGTTTCAGGTATCAGACGTGAAAATTCTTGGAACTGCCACAGGGTGCCTTGTTAAATAAAATGAAACCATTACAGTGACTGGTAGAATTCAAGCAAGAATAATGTAAAACCCGGTTTAAAGAACGATCAAAGAAGCAAAATCTTTGAAAAACTCCAAACAACTGATTTATTTTTAATTTTCAAAGCTTTTTGAGCTATTCTTAAGAGGCGACAGAGAAAATTAGGAGATAAAATGTTTGGGGTGTATCGCTTTAAATTTAGCCATTAAATTTCATTGGTTAAACGTCTTACTTTAGCTTGTGCTGAAATTAAAGTTACATAAGTAAAGTCTAGTGTATGTATTGGATATTTCACAGCCAATGAGACATATCTTTAAATGCGTTTTATTTGTTAATAAAAAACGACTTTATAACCTTTGACATCACATAAAGAATGATGTACGCAGCATTGAAACTAAAATACGACTTTAAGTAATTTTGGAATGAGTTAAGTTTTTTTCAAAGTGGTGTCTTAAAATATATTGTCAAGCATGGATCATTTACATAGAATCGTATGACCAAATTTCCAAGAAAACATTCGCGATTCTTTGAAGTAGATTGTTAGCTGATCACTTCACTCGCGCCTAAACTTTTTCAAGCTCAAGCCACATGGAGAATTCGCATTATCATTTCGTTGCAAACGGCAAAAATCGCAGATTTTACCATAAAAAACCAGGTGACCTTTAAGAGTGTTTGTTTTTTCTCTATTTTACAAACTTTAAATTTCTATTGATATCTTTTTTTATTGAAACAAAATAAAGCATACGAACCAGGGAAACAAATAAGAAATCAAATATGAATTCACTAATATCAGCAACTAGAGCCAAACCAAATTTTAGTGAAGAGTGCTGACAAAAACATTTCCTTTGTCGCAATATAACGACGATATGAGAGATAGAGATACCTCTCCAATAGGTTGCTTTAGCAAAATCCCCAACAAAGTAAGAAATTCTTAATGATTCTGGTTACATTATTTTTTGCCTTGTGAAATTACTGTCTTCATCAAAGCTCTTTAGGTTGTTGACTTAATATTTGATCAATTTAGAGATAAACTTGATATATGAAAGCAACAAAAACGTTTTAGATCTAAAGCAACAAGCCTACTCTTTTACATTGCAAATCTTCCTCTATTTCTTATTATCTTTATTTCTCACAATTTTCAAAAATAGAGTTTATAAGCCATAAGGCAAATACAAGTGGACTGATACTCTCTTCTTTGATAATACAGTATATTGATAATATTTGACGGGTTTTTTGATTGATTTCAGGTTTATACAACTTTAAACACAACTTAAAGGCAACTTTTCCAACATTTGACAATGTTCTTATTCAAGCCACCAGTTAGAAGATTCAGTAGCAGTTTTCAATTTAGATAAAGACAGTTCAGTAATTATTTGAAAATTTTTATCTAAGTATATTCTCCCTCGATTCTTCCTCATATATTTCAAAGTTTTAAAACAAAGTTATGCATGCACATAATTCAAGATAAAAACATTTCTCTTTTTCCTTGCTCATGCAAGTCCTCATTGGTCAAAACTATCAGACATATTGCTAGTATTTTAACACGATTTTCTTGCTAGGAAACAACACTTTTCTATCTCAAAGCCCGTTAGGGACCAACTTATGATCGGTATATTGTTTTGAAAGAACAGTTGGATATGCATTTGGCCTAGAAACTGCGCTAATTTTTTTGCGTCCAACCTCACGTGTCGTTGTGTCACACTATGTTCCGAGGTATATTATGTATCATGGATAATTTAGAAGACCTGTAAATTCTTCATCGTTCTGCTAAAATGATCTCAGTTTAAATGCCCTACCATCCAATTTTATGATTCTTACAACACGTCGATATTATATGTTTATGTCAAACTTGTTAACACGTCAGTATTATATTTTTATGGATACTTGTATTTGCTATTGCTATTGTAATTTTTCTGGGTCGGTTGGCTGTTCCTCTTCCTGGAATGAAGCAGTGTATTCAGAACCCTTTAGTATAATTGCGAAAAGAAGTCTGTAGCATAAGACTGCCGCAAGTATGAAATCAATGGAATGCGTACGCATAACGCATAACGATGTTATCAGTCGCGCCATATTTACAACATGTTTAGCTTTCAGTTGCAAGTAAGAAGTTATTAATTAACGTCCGATAGTCTATAAGTTCTCCTAAGATAGCTTTGATTAATTCGGCATAGATCCAATTAACTGAATCGATGTCGCATGAAGGTAAACTGAATCGTGACTTTTTGAGGGGAATCAAAAGAGCGTCGCGTTTGCGAATACCACTCCCTAATTTCAACTAGAAACCCTACAGCAACTATTTCCTAGTCATTTGCATTATCGTAACTAGATTTCAATGCTATTTACAACATTCCACAGATATTTATTGACTGTTTAAAGTAATCTGAATAGCGCGATGTTTCTGCGAGTCTTTAAACATACGAAATAACCGTTTAGCAACCAAATCGTGCCCCCACTCCCAAACTTTCAGATGGAAACCTATAAAGCATCAAGCTGATTTAAATATATCGACTTATACCTCTGAATTTCCTACAAACTCGTGAATACCGCCATGAAATGTTGCCATGATGATGTCTGTTTCCTCCTTAGGTAGCACATTGTCCTCTTGTCAGGCCTCGGTTTCATCCGTTTGACCTCTATTCAATATGTTTTACTTGACTAGGGATAGTGGGCTAGATTCTACCACTGATCTATAAAAAATACTGGATTGAGCTTCCTATTGTCTTGAAACACCAAAGTTTGAAGCCCATTCAATTTCTAAAGGAAGAGGGCCCAAAACACTAGCGGGAAGCCATTCCTCAAAACCAATACTTCAACGAGATGGATATGCGAGAGCTGCAATGCTGTGTGTATGATTGCTGAAAAAGGACAAGGCCAAAGCAGCTGAAAACATTGCTAGGGGTGACAGAGAAGGCCGTCTCCTTGCATGGGCTGTTCTGGGGCCCTCTTCTCGGACGGCAACACTCTGATCACATTAAAAGCTCGATCCAGTCTTTTTTATAGATAAGTGGATTCTACAGATTGGGCGCCATGAGATTTGCTTTTTCTTCAAAAAGAGTTTCTATAATAATGGGCACTTATCTATAGCATTCTGGGGCGCCCGGAGCTTCGTGGTGCGGCTGGGGCAGGAACTGCAAAAAAGGGCACCTAGGGTGTATTGAAGTTTGCTGCTGAAACATATCAGGAATTGTCGTTTAGTCAACGACGAAGCCTTTTTGTAGGTGAAGGCGCTGCAAAGGGAGACAGGCTAGGTGGTCTGGGGGATAGCCCCCAGGGAAATTCTGCGGTGTTCTGCCCTAAAGACTCTCAGAAATGGGGGCAACACCCATAAAAATATATTCGAATCAGGACTACAGTTTCGTTCACCTCAACATCAACCATCAAGGGAAGCTGGACCCAATCCTACCTTACATAAAAACAAAAATTTGTTTTGATCACCATCTACGTGGGTTGATATTACTTTTTGGATTGATATTACTTTCTGAACATGCTGTCTTTTACTTTCTTTATTTACAGTTAGTACAATCTATAGCTATATTAAAGCTTAATAAAGCCAACTAATTTAGATTACCAACGCTCAATATGATTTAAATCAAATATAACTTATGTTGCATACATATTCCTTGCAAAAATCACAAGTACAATTGAACGATAAGAATTTTTCTTGGATATTTGTAATGATAGGGAGTACTTATTTCGTTTCGATCTGAAATCTAAAAGTTATCATATCATTCTATTATTGTTACTTCTGAAGTGAGACCATTCGGCTTCAAAAAGGCTTCAAAAAATTGCTTTTTGAATTTCAGATTACACCAGGGCTTCCATAGGGATTTCATAAGAAACTTAAATCGCTTAAAATCTTTAAGAAGCTTTCAAACTGGCTCAAAAAAATACATGCGCATTCTAGCACTGCTTACCAAATTCAAGCCAAGTCTTCAGGATATTTTTAAGGACTTCAACGAGTGGGGATTCATAAGGGCCACTATGACAAGCCAAAAGGCCCACAAATTTCCAACCAGTCAGTACGTTAAAAGCGTCGAATAGGAATACAATGCTGCATAAAAGCTTCTTGTTTCAAAAAACGTCTCGAATAAAACGTCTTGGATTGCCATAGGAAGATTATTAAAGTGGGGGACATCTGTTTAAAGGTGCACCCTAACAAGCATCTTATAAAGTTTAAAAGCCTGTTTAAAATTATCCCTAAAAAAGATTTCATAAAGGTTAAAAAGGCTGCTACATAAAGCCTTGGCCACCAATCGGCCGGGTAGGGGTCTATGAATTAGCTCTGCTATAAGATCCCTTCCCAACCATTTGGTTCTTTTTAAATTTTTAAATTTCATAGATTATGGTAAACGTAGTCCAATTCATGTACTCTTTTTTTTCTATTAATCATAACTTAAATTGTAATTCTTGTTGGTTGCAATGAAAACTCTTATGTCTTATGTCTTATGTCTTATGTCTTATGTCTTATGTCTTATGTCCTATGTCTTATGTCTTATGTCTTATGTCTTATGCCTATAGATATCATCTTCTGGCTTAGCTGGGGGTAGTGCCGCCGAGGAGTTTCGGAGACCTTGTGGCACGATTGAAAGAGGAAGCCCTTTGCGAGCAAAGCGAGCAGAAAAATTTTGGCGACCATGCCCTTTAGATAAGTTAAAATTCCATTTCAGAATATTTTTTGCAGTAATCTTCTTGCAGTCGTTTAAGAAGTTGTAAAAGTTTGCTATGTCTTACTAGTTGCTTTCACAAAATGCCCAAAGCCAATTTGCCATCGCCACCACCCTTCGGTAACTCTGTTTGTGATCTTGTTTTTTGGTGTTTTTAAAAGCAGATCGAATATAGAAACATTTTTTATCATGGCCCCAAAAGGTCATTTCGTAAAGCACGTAAGCAATTCAAGGACACTCTTTGGTTAGACAGTTGGCGCCTTTCGAAAATTCAAAAAAGTGTCCCAAAATTTTGAGGTGCTTCAAAACTGTGATTTACTTGCACGGGTTTTTTACTCTCGTTAAACTGCCTGAATATAGGAGACTGTTCTATATTCAGAGCAGTTCCAAGTCATTACAGAGTCGTTTGTGAGTCAATCCATACACTAGAAGTTTTTTGCATTCGTGGCATAGCCTTTTCGCAGGGGAGTTAGTTGAGGGGCTAGCATTTATTGACATAAAGAGAAGGTCTATAACCTGTTGCTTCAAAACAATGGAAGGTTACTTTGGCTAGAGGGGCAATCGCCACCCTAGTTAGTATGTTAAAAAAGCCCTTGTTTCGTCCACTTTCAAAAGTTGATAACACCAATCTCCTTACCATTTTATCGACGCTGTTTTCTTCCACCCGTACTGATTCCTTCGAAAGTCATGTTTATGCCTCCAATCCTAGTTAGATTGTCATTGAACTTGTTGATATTGATACTAAGCAGCATTGTAATTGGAGGAAGATAAACCACTTTAGAAAACAGGGTGAAGACTGGCGAGAAAAAGCCATATGTCTATTTGCAGGGCTCATGATTACTAAAGAACATGCCAAGAGACATCAAAAACTTTCTATGGTAACTCAGGGATAGTAAAATGTTTCTCTTTCAAAGATGCTTTGATTTTATTGAATCTGTTCTGTTAATTCTTGTTTTGCAAGTGTGAAGCTAAAGAAAAAAGTTGGGGTTACAGATCACCAGATTTGCCGATAATAATGGCGTTCCTTAGATGTAACTGCTTGCCATAATGCAACGTTGGGAAACTGCATCGCGTGAAATTTTGAGCCAATATGCAGATAACTGATTGGAAAGGAATGGATATCATACAGGGATGTAGTGGTAGGGGGGCTCAGGGGGGCGCAGCCCTCATTGTTAAGATTTCCGAAAAAAGTGGGGGGCCAGCCCCCTCATTGTTTGTGCTTGGATAGAGCCAAGAATCATATAATGCAAAGAAATGAAGAAGTGAAGAATTGAGGAAAAGAGAAACAACTGAAAGATTCAAGGATGGCGCTATCCTAAGAGTCAAGGAGGGCAGCTGCCCCCCCCCCCAAAATGTTCCTAATGACACCCCTTCAGCAGTTCAATGTAAGAAAAGAAAAAGAACTGTCGGCACTTTGAAACTGTCAAATGAGAAATTTACCTTTTTTAAAAGAACCATTGAATTAAAGTTCAGACTGGCTTTTTGACTTTCAGTAAAACCATGATGTTGGTTGGGTTGCTTATAATTTGTTCTTAAATCATGAGGGTGCTAGCAGTGCTATTGCTAAATATTGAGCTTAAGGGGAGTGTTCAGGCACCATTTGAAAACAAAGTTTGAAAAATTCAGCATCAAAGCACCTCTAGATGGGAAAAACTTTATTCAGAATTACATTTTAAAGTACCTCAGCCAAAGCTGTTTCTTAATCTCTTGACCAATTTGAATCAATTAAAATAACAAATTTGAAGGCCTGTGTTTTTTAAAATTTTTTCTGCGATTAAAGGTTCGATCAAAACATTTCGCCCAGCTCAATGATATATTAGGAATCTGAGAGGCATCAAATAAACAGGGTCGCAGAAAGGAGGAGAAGGGACAAATTTCCCCAGAGCTTAAGGGCTCCATGGGGGCCTTATAAAGTAATTAATTCAATTTTCAAGAATGGAATTACTCGAACATATAAAAAATATGCCGAGAATAGGAGAAAATTTCAAACAACTGCAAGAAAATGGCTCCTAGAAATATTCATAAATGTATTCTAAGCTATACTTAAGGGAGTGGTCGCAAACATTTTCTGCTCGCTTCGCTCGCAGGGAAGTCACTTCTGGTTTATTGTACCAAGGCTTGTGATTATTATTAGATCGATAGCCATTTTCACTGTCAACAAGATATTTCCATGATATTCAGCCAAAGCGGGCCAAGATATCCAAAAAGCAAGATCATACTGTCTTTGCCAGAAACCAAGCAAAAGATGGCTCAAACTTGCTTAGCCACTAAAAGATGTACTGTACAAGAGTCTACTAGCTGGGAACAACAAAAAATCGCTTATCAAATCTTTGTAGTTTGAAACGTTTTAACGAAATTGATAGTTTGAAGAATGTATACGCGATTTGAATGACGGATAAAAACATTTTTTTTCATTCATTTTCAAAACATTTTGATAGTTAAAGAAACTGTGAAGAGGAGTTCATGAAATATGTCGGCAACCATTTTTATAGTCGTCGGCACTTGAATTTTTCTAAGATTGTCAGCTCATCATGTTTTAGTTTCTTGCGCCACCCCTGGAAAGATTTCAAAGGCATAGCAAGCTTTATATGCATGAAAATGTACACAAAGTTTGCAATATATAGATAGAAAATTATTGAATGATTTCTAACTGAGTTCGTTTAGCTGCAGTTTCGCATTAGACAGTTGGTTTATTAGAAATGCCTGAATCAACAACCGGTTGCTATCATTTGACTCTATCTTGTCTAGGTTTAAAATTTCATGCACTACACCCTTTTAATAGCTAAGAGCACTGGATGCTCTTATTCTTTGGATAATGTTATGCTCGGGTATTCTCAAAGCTGTATTTATTCCAAAATTGATTTTCTATATCTGCAAACTATGAAAACTTTCCAAGTCCACTGAATAACAGTTCTACATGACATTTTTAGTAGCATTGTTCATTAGCTGATAAAATCGCCTCTGTTTTGTTAACACGGGAGGAAATGTTTCAATTCAAAATCTAACCAATGGGTCATTATTATTTAAAAAAAGTTCTTCCTTATCGATGCCATAAATATCTTGGATGAATTTCTTGCCATTCTTGGAATGCCATATCTCACAATTTTTCTTGCCGCCAACCATTCACTGAACCCCTGAGCAATGAAAACATTTGCCTCCTTACTTGCAATAAATTCCCCTCCCCCCTTGCACTCTTCCTCATAGATTTGATGCTCTCATCTCAGCTGACGCTCAACACAGTCAATGTACCTGGCTCCTCAAAAATTTTTTGGAAAAACATCAACCCTCACCATGTTTAAATGTAAATGATTACATGACAAGAACAACTTAGAAATTTCATAGAGCCCCCCTTGTTAAAATTTTACGACTACATCCCTGATAACATAATATGCATGGCTTTGTTTCCTGCTTTTATAAAATCTTAATACATTATCGTAGCTTAATACATTAGAGCAATAGATAATAAACTTAGCATCTATACATTTTAGTTGCATTTGCCAACGAACAATGGGGGCATATTTGCCAAATTTTTCGCGGAAAACGGTAATGTTTCGCGGAATTTTAGCAACCAGAAACAGATCCAATATCCTGGGTACCAGACTCACTATATATAAAATAAAATATAGTGAGTCTGGTACCCAGGGTACAGATCCAATTGCTCTGGTCAAGTTTGTCTTTTGCCTGAGAAGTCCTCTTTAATCAAGTTTTTATGTTTACAATTTACCCAAAAACCTAGCATTCTATAGACGAGTTATCTAAGAATTCTAGAGGCTACAATTTAGCGTCGACTCTGGTTTTCAGTAGAGATGTCCTTTCGTCTATCATTACAGAAGTTTTATCAGTTAAGGCGAATTTGTTCACATTAATGTTTCTTCGTTCTTCCTTGTGAACTTTTTAGATTCATCAATGCAATGATGAGTTTCTAAAATTCTTGGAATTTATAGTAAGATTGAGGATACCCTGGGTTCAAGTGTTATCTGTAAATAAGAAGAGGGACGAAGGGAGGGGGACTGGGACAGGGGTAGTATTAAATATCTTATTTAGGGAGAAATGGCTAAAGCTAGAAGAATAAACATGGGTTTTTGAAAGCATCAGAACACCCAAGATTAGCTGTACTCAGGGCCGGCGAAACCGGGGGGGGGGGGGCGGTAGGCCATGGTCCCCCTCTTTTCTGCAGAGCTGAAAAAAATATTTAGGCAAAAGTGAAAATGTATGTAGTATATGATACTGTAAGTAACTTTGCCTAGTATTTTCTCAGATGTGTCCTTAGTTTTACCTTGGTTGCTATGTCTTTATCATAGAAGGCAAACATAAAATTGAATATGGAAATTAGATCGAAGAAATCGGTCATTGTCTAAGTTTTACAACGAGTAACAACTTGGCTTAGCAAATAGATCGAGAAACCTAGTCCAGAATAACTTGGTACCAGCACAAACTGACGGAGTTTCGTTTTTTCCATTGCCTAAACTTGGCACACAAGGTCTATTTGTTAACGAATGTTAAATTTCTCAGAAATATTACAAAAAGAGAGAAATCAGCTGTTGAAGGAAAAGAAATAGCTGGAAAGAACTTTTCTGAGGATATGAGAAATAAAGTATGGGCAGATTTGTTCTTAAAAAGTATCATCAAGAAAACTTCAGAGTTTGATCGTTTGGATAATCCATTCCTACTTAGAAAGAGAAAATATCAATGCAATTATAAATTATATTCAAACTCATTTTGTCAAGCCCCGTATGAAGGTTTTTCAAATTTGTGTTAAAACACTTAATTTCCGAAAAAGTTAAGATCAGATGTTACAAAGTTATGCCTTAACTGTACACAATTTCTTAACTTTTTATGTTTAGTTGATAGCTCCTCTGTTCCTATTTCAACGTTAATGTTTTTTATTAATTAGTGTTTCATTTATTTTTCTCCCCCATCTTATTTCGGATACTTTTAAAATATAAATAAAAGGTTTCATCACGAGCCATATGATAGTGGTTATTCTAAAACTTTGCAAAACTTATCTATTTCAAATCAACATCACAATAGACGCGACTATGTGACACCTTCAGTCAAAATTCATTTTAGATACAGTTTCTGGCCATCCATAGGACACCATAATTCTGTCACCAGCCAAATTTTTCTTGCCACCAAACATGGCGGCGGCCTTTCCTAAGCCCTTTCAAGACTTTGATATTTTGGTCCCTCCATTTACAAATACGTTTCGCCGGCCCTGGTACTCCCAATTGAATTCCAATCTTACTCTCTCAATTCTTAAAGAAAATGTTATAAAGCAGTACCAATCATATTGTATTCAATAGAATTACCAATATTTTGTTGTACTTGAGTTATGCATTCCCTTTAGCCTTCAAGAATTAAGCAATTCCTTCTGTCTTACTTTGCTATAGATTGTCCCTAATACAAAGTGGCCATTATCAATCTTGTTGGTTTCTTGTTCAATGATACAACTGTCTGGCTGCGTGCGCGCTACCCATTCTCCTTCCCATGCCTTTCCCCCCTCCCTTTTCCCCATTCTTAATCCTTTGACTATCTGAGGCTCTGGTACCCAGGGTACAGGCGCGCCAGCTGATAGGATGTTTTGGAAGCCTGTCCTTAACGATTTTCGGAGCGCTGAGGACTGAGGTAACCATCAACATTTTTCGCCGAAAAAACTCTTTGCCAATGAAAAACACAACCTGCACAGATCCTGAATAATACGCAAAATGGTTGAAAAAGATAGATAAAATTGAGTTTTTTAAAAATCTATAGAAAAAAAGTGGGCGGGCGGACAATGATAAAATATAAAATCTTCTTATAAACCGGTATGATGTTATGAAGGGGGAGGGAGAAGAAGGAAAAGGAAGAGTTGAAGGAAGGTTTGTAAATCCAGAAACTGCATATTGAAATTTGAGTCTATACGCGTCATTTAATCAGTTTTAAGCATGTTTCTGTTCAAAAGAACTTGTAGAGGGTTGGCAGTCACAGAATCAATCAATGCTTTCAGTCTAACTTTAGGATAAACCTTATGATTATTTTTGGGCTTTTCTTCAAATATCACTTCCGAATATCCATGTTTTAAGATAAATAGCTTTATTAAAGTTTCCTTCAAAGCTCCTTCTCTCGGTGCCTGCTTCAAAAATAGTACAAATCACTAAAAGGTACCAAGTTTCTATGCAGCTCTGAAATATTATTTTATTATAATTATATAATTATATGAAATATATAAATATTCCTTTTCGAATGAGAATTCGCTTTGTACTTTAGTCTTAAAAGATTCATTGTTGCTAACCAACGTTATTGTCAAAGAAAGAAAAGTGTCTGATAAACCTAAGGATTGGAACATGACATTTGTAGGCCTTCAGCTGGAAGGCAAACTCTTTTTTGTTGCAAAATAGAGTCAACAGTCTTCTGTCTGAAACAAAAGATTTCTTGGGCTTTAGAGTCAATAGTCGACTGTCTAAAACAAAAGATTTCTTTGGCTTTAATGGTTGTTGTTCCTTTCTAGCATCTCAAGGTCCTTTTCTAGCAAACAGTGTGTGATCTTCTGTATACTCGACTTGTGTTTGATCTTGATTACACTACGCAAAATTTCCTTAATATGCAAAAACTAAGAAAAAACATTGTAAATTTATGTTTTTTGGCATACAATTTTGATTATGATTCTCATTTTGTGTTAATTGTAACATGAAGCTTCTCTGTATAATTTACGATACAAAAACACATGGACGTCACAAGAATGTCCAGTTGGGGACATTGAACATAAAAAAAGATACATTTTTTAATAAGAAAGCTTGTACTACTCGGCAAAGTTATCCTACAGCAACCGCAAGACGATTAGATGTTTTTGTGACTCAATGTGGTCAGATTCCTTCAACGATTTTTTATGACAGTATTATGAAACAAATATGAAAAGATAGGTTTGAGGCTATTGATCGAGGGCAATCTAGCATTGAATACGCGCAAAGCATTAACACCGTCACGCTTCCTTCATTTGATAAACAGTTAGATTAAAAACACTGCAAAGCTGTGTTTTTTTAGCAACAGTTTTTGATGATTATAGCTTCTACAGAGCATTGGAACAAAATTTTAGTGAATATCCCTGTTTTTTTAAATAGGCCTCGAAATTTGCTACCTTTTACGCATGATGTTAAAATCGTGATATACCAAAGTCTTCCCAGACAACATTCGTTCACTATCCTTGTATTGAATTAAAAACTTTACCTGATCGAAATCCAAACGAATCTTTTCGAGTCCTTCCTCTAAACTTTTCCCATTTGCTTGCATTTTATAAACTTGTTTATTTTCCAGCCAAATCGTCTGGTCGTTTTTATTCATCGAGAAGGTGGATGTCTGATTATCCACTATGGACAGCCTGTGATTTTTTACTAAGAATCCGTCTCGATTTGAATGCGAGGCACTACAGAGTTTGAGGCAAAGCGAAAAAACGAAACACTGGGATTAATAGCTAGAGCGTCCAAAAAGGTTGGTAAAAAACAGTTTAAACTTTAAATCTAGCCTTAAATTCGATTGGAATCGTAATACCAAATCCGCCGAGTTATCGTTTTCCTGAGTTTCACTGACCTGACCACTTTTCGCCCATTTTTAAACCCACCTATTCACTATTTTTATGATTCCTAATCATAATGGCGTGCCTTGCCTGTACCGTATTTTTTAGGTAACGGGTCTAACTTTTCTAACATTAGTCATCAAGAAACGTTTCAAAAAATTACCTTATGCAAAGTCATATTTTAACTATAAGGTGAATGTTAAAAAATACAACAGTTTGATTGAAAAACATATAAATAAACACAGGGCCCTAAATCTGTCATGTCAATTGGGGGGGGGGGGGGGGGGTCACTCGTCAATTGGGGGGGGGGCGGTGGGTCAGTCATGTCGAATGATTTTAGAGTGTGCAGTGGGTCATGGAACCACCATGCAATTTATAGAGTGTGTTAAGGAAATAGTTAGAGTGGCAAACAACTTAATAAACGAAAAAGATTTTTAGATAAACTAAGGTTTTTTCAGCCCTATAGAAGGTATTTACAGATATTTCTTAGCTTTTTTATAGTTGAGTTGATAATATTTTTCAGAGACAGCTTGAATAAATTAAACCTGGAGGCTGTAGGAGGACCCACCATGGTTGTGGACGATGTGAAAGGAAATTTTTGAAATCATACCTTCTAAATAGCTATAAAAGCATCTCCCTGACCAAGTTTAACAAAATACTATACCATTCAGGAAAGACAAATCAACGTTTCCCAGAAGAACACAGATTATTGTTTCTGGGAGAAATTGGGAAGGGAAAGAGTCTAGTGACAGATGTTGGAGAAAAGAAAGAAAAGGCGTTTTCTATTCGAGAGCAAGTGTTTTTCTTCTTGAAACCATATTGGATTAAAAAAAATTAGGATGTATCTAAGAACATATTCGGGCTCCAAATGAAAATTTTCTTAAAAAAATCAAGGATGGGCAAAATGTATTGCACTCTAATAATAAAGAGTTTAGTCATTGCTTCTCTCTATATCAAATGCAAAAGTACTTCTTTGTTGACGTGGTACTCTTACGCAGATTATTTTTACTCCTTGCCCTCTTTGTCTTTTGGGCTTGTTCCTTGTTCCTGTGCAGTTAAAATTAAGGAGCTATTATGGAGGTCTTGGTACCGCAGTTTGACTAATAGAGGTTCAGAAATTAGGAACTTTAGGACCTAGGTTTTGAGTTAGGATTTTTTATAAAAAGACGTGTATGAAAATATGTGTGATATGGGTTCGTCGAAATTTATGACAACTTAAACAATTTTTTTTTTACATACTTTTTGAGATTTATTCAAGGGGAGACCGGTGGATAAGATATTTGGGGCTAATCTCCTCCATGGGCATCGTCACTGACTCGACACCACTCTGCAAACATAAATAACAGCCATCTACAATAGTCAACTTGCGTTTGACAATAGTCACCATGACATAGTGGCTGAGGTATGCTGCAATAACTCAGCAAAACTTTTTTAGGTTCCAACCCAGCTACCAGGGATTCCTTTCTTTAAAAGCAAATGACAATAATTTCTAAAAAAATCGTTTAGCTCCAGATTTTTGGGGGGGTCCAGTCCCCCCATCCCCCCCAGGATTTACGGCCCTGAATAAACATTAATATAGGCTATTCACTGTTCCGGGTTGATTTAATCGATTCTGTATATCGCTGTCTACAGACCTTTCTAAAAAATAGACTTCAGATTTGAAATCATAGTGGTCTTGAAATTTGTTTATACTGAGAACTTCATACTGTTTGGATCGTTTGGTCGCGAGTTACTTTGTTTTGAATATTTAGATATTTCTTTAGATTTGACCGGACTTTACAGCAACAAATTCCATTGAAATGTATAGGAAAGGCTAAATTTTTTAAAATAGGATAATTTGCTGCCTGATAGCCCAAACAACACGAAATTTTTGGCACAGACTAATTTCAACATGAAGATTCCAATTCTATGATCCATTTTCAACAAATGCGAAGATAAAAAATTGGAACAGAGAATGCCCAGTTTATTCCATATTGCAGAAAAGGTATTTTTATGATTCCAAGCTGCATTCTTCTAATGGGGCTACTTTCTAATAGTTGATTTTTGTTAAATGATCCAATTCAATACATTTTAAAGACACAAGAAGGGTAAATACCCCTTTTCCCATGGTATGCATGGTCAGTTACTAAAAGTTTTTTGTCTGCTTGTCTTAGCTACTTATATAGCACTAGGAACTATTTAGTCCACAATGGCCAATGACTCCCATCCATCTTGGATAAAACTGATGGTCATTGTGTGGCCAGGGTGGAAAACAAACATTATTCATTTACCAAATCAGATTTTAAAACTTTGCCTTAATTCTATCTTTATCCTGTTGAAAAAAATGAGAATGACTACACAAATGATCAGATATTGACCTGAGCTTTTGGTGACTAGCTGACATTGAGGCTGAGAAAAATTCAAATGCTTTATCAAAATCAATCAAACCACTGCTCTACACAGAAAATGCACCAAAAAATTATTTATCTGATCTGGCACCATGTGTCCAAGACCTTTTTAAAATCAGCACTCATATTGAATAGATTTTTTGTCATGTATATGTGTACTGTGTAGAAATATTTGCAGAAGGGCCACCTCAGTACTTTTGTATTTGCTACCAAGCTTTTAGACACTGAAAAGCTATTATAGAGCAGGGTCCTGGACCCACCTGATGTGACCATACTTCTTGATGATTCCTATGCCTGGAATTGCAGAGAGATCCTTACTCTAAGTGATAGACCCTTGGAACTGTTATATCTTAACCACTAAACCACCCTCACACTGGTACAGAATCAGAGTGCAATACTAAAATGATAGTCAGACATCGTTTTGTAAGATAGGTTTGTTGACTCCAAACAAATATAAAGACTATAAACAGGGATCCTAGGAGCATTTGTTGACTGTCCTAGAGAATGGATATCTAGAGCTAATGGGATTAGAAATTTGTTCAATCTTCTCCAAGTATAAATATAGCTTTTGATAACTAACGGTTTTCTGATGGTTCACAATGCTATACTCAGTCCAAGTAATTCTGCTAAATGCTTAAGCATGAAATTTTCAGGCCCCTGGGGGCCAAGCCCCTGCTCCTTTATTGCAATAGTATAGAGCTTTGTTCAAAATCTTTTGATATGATTGTTAAATTTTCCCTTGCACCCTCCACCAATTTTAAACCTGGGTCCAAGCCCATGTAAAAAGGAGCATAGCCAGTTGGGCAAGAGGGTATTTCTCAGATACCAACTTTCTGAGCAGTTGGCAACCACTGATCTGGCAATGATTTCTGAGCATTGGTGCAAATCTGCCATTTCCTCAGGGGGGTTGTTGATGTTTCAAACAACATTAAGACGTTTTAAAATACTGCAAACAAATATTCTGAAATGTATTTTAAGCTAATCTAAAGGGCGTGTTTTCGAGAATTTTCTGCTCCCTTTGCTCGCAGGCCACTGCTTCTGTACCTCTGCAGAATGTTTCACAATTTCCCTCGTTTTAGGGTTTATATAGAAAAGACCTTCACATTCTATAGATATTCACGATAAAATACAACTGAAATGCTAAAAGGCTTCAATCCTGAATAACAACTAGATTTTAAATTTTGCAAATTTTGCTCCAAGCAGAACGGACTTAGTTTGAAACTTTTGAATGCTTTTTATTATTTTTAGATATTTATTTTCAACTTTGGAAGACACGAAGAGCCTCGTCGCCTTACACAGTTCAGAATATAAACATTCTAGGAACAGTAAAGGAAATAGACAGTTGTAGAATGAAGTCAATCAAAAAAAGCTACATATTACGGTTGGGGGGGTGTGGGGGGGTGTGACACCCCCCCAATCCAAAAAATAGTCGATTTCGCAGGGCAATCGAAGATTTCGCAGGGCGCCAAGAAGAGCTTTATTGCCACGCAGAAATGCCACCTCTGAAGTTCGTAAAAAGCCGTTTAGGAATTTTGAAATGGAAATATCGTATTTGTTATGAACCTCCCTTCCTGACATTGCATTTTAGAGAACGGAACAGTTATGTAAGGAAAAGCTCCGTTATTTGCAAAGCGAAAGCATTTTTTACCGAAAGTCATAGCCAATGGATGCAATGATTGATGCATATGTTTATGAGGGCAAGGTTGAGTCATGCAAATTAATTTAAGTTGTAAATTATTTTCATGACAAGCACGGCTTCACTGGGGGGGGGGAATAAAGGGCTGAAGTCCCTCACTTTGGTCAAGATAGAAATTTTTTTTATCATTTTTTCTATTACTTTTTAACAGTGCATGAACTAAAAAACATAATAAATCGTTAAGATACCGTTTCATCTAATTGCTAACTTTTTCACGTATATTTTTATTATTTTTCTTTTATTTGCATTAATTCAGTAAATCATTTTCTGTATCATTGCAATGTTTTAATTTTGGATGCGTAAACATGGCCTTCTTGATACAAGAAACTGCACATTTCTGTTCAGGAAAAAAATTCTCCCAATCAAAACAACATCTTCCTCTGTCATTCACAACTACGTGCAATCTGAAACGAAAGGTTGCCGTTTCTTTCCTTCCCCAACATCTAACACTAGAGTTTTAGCATGACATCCCCCTCCCTATTTTTCCCAATAAACAATAATATTTTCAATAAACAATCACTTCTTTAAGCACAATAGTAATTTGGTAAATTTTTGTCTGAAAGATGCTTTTTAGCCCTTTTACAACATATAATTTCAAAAAATTTCTTCACGTCGGACCCAACCATGGTGGGTCCTCCTACCTCACTAAACTCGACTCTTAGCTCCACTGGGCTAAATTTCGTTGCGCTGTCTACATCATGTACCTCCCCCCCCCAATTAGCTGTTTATTAGCTTAATTTTGCAAACCAACGTTAAATGAAGTGAATTTAAAAAAAAATTACGCTCACGTAGAGAAATAAAAATTTCATAGGCAATGAAGTTTCAAGTTTGTTTTTATTGCTTAGAAGTTTGTCCATGGTAAAGACCAGTGTACACTGGTAAAGCTTTCACTAGTAACCTATAGACAAACCGTTGCTACGAGGTCTGCAGGGCACCACTCATTTTTGCAGGGCAGAAACCCTTTTCACCCTCCCAAAACTATTGGCCAAGTTACGCCCCTGGGTGGGGGCAAACCAAAAAAATTTAAGCCATGCCCTTTTAACCACCAGAAAACGCCCTTTTACCAACAGGGAACGCCAATTTTATCCGAAGTGAACGCCTATGACTAACTTTTGTTTGAAAATTGGCAGTTTGAAAATCATAGGATTACATCACAAAAAGTATGGTGTCAAAATGTTACCCCTCCCCCAACATTTTCTCATCGAATTTAGACGAAATACAAAATCGATTCTGCTGAGAACGTGTCCCCCCAGTCCCCCCGTGGCGCCGCTACTGTTTGCTACAAAGGTTTTCTTCTGTACATGAAAAAGTTAAGATTTTTTTTTCATCAGGAATTTTTGCCAAGTTTCTAACTTGGAGAATCACATAGGACCTTTATGCCCCCGAAGAAGGTCCGGTAGCTATTAACGTAATTGGAAGCAATCTTCAAAGGAGAGGCAAGAGCCCCCCTTGGAACGATTATGCTTATGGCATTGATGCAATCTATGATTTCTTATTGTGCTTGAATTATTTCGTATTTAATTTCTATTTTGTTTCTTTTTTTTACGCTGTACTTTTTACCTTGTTCGTAGACTGCATGTCCTTCCCAACTGTCTTTTTCTCACTTCGAGTTTCATCAGGCCATTACTTCCACTATGAAGAGATATACAATGAAACCCAGTGAATTCCTCTGAGATACAGTAACATACAGTTAACCAGCCCACTACCTGCCAGTTAGCAGCCCATTTCCGTTTCGAATTTTTCTGGTGCCTATCCAAACACGGATTGCCCTTGTTTGCCGCTCTTTGTTCAAAGCATAGTTGATAAAAGAAAATTTTCAAGGCAAACCACAAGTAACAATTGCAGTAACTGGTTGTTGCTTTTGTCCAAGAATCACCCTGATTTGCGGAATACGGATCATGAAATCAAAAAAGCAAAGTGAAAAGATTTGAAATAATGTATCACGCAAAGAGTATTTGCAAAAAAACAGCTTATAAGCAGAAAAATGTTCAGGATTACTCAGGTCGACCGCAAGCTCCAACCCGGAAAATTCTAACTTCCCTCGGAGGCTGCACTTGAAGACCAGGCGGAGAATGGGGGTAGGCTGATTCCGAAAAGGAATTGTCTAGTTTCCATACTGCTCGACCTGATAGTCATAAATAGACATGATTAAAAGTCATAAATTAGCATGATTAATTATTTCAACTTTCAAGTAAAGGCTTAGGGTTAGATAGAGTTAGGTTTAGGTTTAGGTTTAGGTGTAGGTTTAGGTTTAGGTTTAGGTTTAGGTTTAGGTTTAGGGTTAGGGTTAGGGTTAGGGTAAGCTCATTACGTCATCAACTCCTTCCAATAATCGATATAATACGTGCAAGTTCGGGGGCCTACATCAAAATAGAGGCAGTTGCTTTTTAAAGGTCTCTTACATCGCATCACATTACAGTATACCAAATTGTAACACCTAATTTGAAAGCAAATGAAACTGCATTGGCTGTAATTCATGTTTTTTGTTGGTAACCTAATGCATGTCTAAAGATCCTCAGATTGTTTTTGTGAAATGGTGATTGCGATCAACATAAATGGCAGCTAAAAGAAAGCATGAACCATGCTATTTAGATTACACCAAGATTATTCGATAAAGAGCCTCTACAGTAACATCTACTCACGATGACGATGAAACAAATGGAAACTTGTACTGTCGTTCATAGAAAATGATATTCTTAAAGCTTGTTAATGGAGACCATCATGGTAGAGTAAAATGGTACAACTGGAAGCAAACAGACCCGATATAGGCTAAAAGAGCTTTCGAAGATATATGGAGATAAATAAGTTTTTGTCCTGGTGGAGCATCAAATAACGCACGTTGTTATAAGTAAGGAATGTCTTCATGCTCCAATACTATCTAGAAAATCCACCTTCTTTCAGGAGTTTACGGTAAAAAGAGCTGCTATGATATTGAGAGAACTGATTTATATTTGTCGATGATACATAGCCCCAAGTTGTTGGAAGTGTTCTTTAAAGCGTTATAATCATCAAAAGAAAGCCATCACAGTGAAAGAGTTAATCGTCCTGCTGGTTCACCCAACCAAGATGTTGTCGAAGGAAAAGTTCTTGACTCCAAGCATGCTTCATTAGCACTTAGGCTTCACAGTCTTACTGGGAGGGGCGGATTTAATCATCAAGAAACACTTAATCAAATAAATAATAAACAGTATTCCAAAGTTGCAAACTCAGCCCGTTCTCCTTTCCCGACAACCATTTCAGAATCCAGTCTTTAGCATTTTAGCTCCTATTTGTCGGGATTGCCTAAAAAACGTGAAGAACTTTTCTATATAAACCCTAAAAATTCTTTACAGAAAATTTTTGCGACGATGCCCTTGAGATAAGCTTAAAATACATTTCAGAAAATTTCTTACAATCGTTTGCTTGCAGTCTTTAAAAACGCTTTAATGTTGTCTGAAATATAAAGTAAACCCCTGTAAGGTTCTAATTCTATTGTAGATTTGCACTTTTCTCAGACATCGACTTTCTGAACGGCCGCTCCCCGGTGGCGTGGGCCCTGGACCATCTACTATTGTTCTATTCTCAGTATTCTATTGTTCTATAGTATTGATATCAGTTTGGCCAAATTTGGCCGAATTTTGAAGCTGATTTGACTGAATAGTCTGGGAATGATCTACCAACCCTGATAAGAAGATAATAAAGTAAAATCTTGGCGTTACTTGGTTACTGCTGACTACCAAAAACTGATTTTTACCGAACAGAACCAAATTTACTGAAGGACGCAGAAGTATTGGGGGTGTCGCACCGCCTACACCCCCCTCCTGCTAAATCCGTTCCTGCTCACTTATCAAAAGCTGCCAATCACAGTTTTGACCATATTAAGATAACATAACGTTGGTCTAAACATGATAGTTCCTCACAATTTTGCTAATTTTCTACAGAATGGAGAAAACAAACCATGCACATTAATTCAAGGAGTGATAGAAGAAGACCAAAGTTAGTTACAAGGAAAGACCGTCCTCTTTTCCAATGAAAACAACTGCACTAAAGTGAGGAAGATGAAGTTGTCATAGATGAAAGACTGAAAAGCAATCACGAAGAAGCAGATACAAAGCTGATTGCTTTAGTGAAAGCAGCAAACCGAACGAGTGAGGATTCTGTGATGATCAAACCACCTTGCGGGAGTATCGATGTCTGACCCCCTTTGTTGTCCATGATTTTGCAGGAATCCATGTATTGATTGTCAAAGGAACAGGTCTAAAAAGAAAGAATTGTAAGTGTAAGTGTGGTGAACTGAACCTTTCGAGCAATTTCTTAATAATGCTAACAAGTAGAACACTCTAGACAAGTTGACCAAAATAATTGTGGAAACTTCTAGAGTTAGCCTTACGTAACATGCTGTAACTTGCTTATTCCAGATTGTGATCCTCCACAGTGATATTATATTGTACGGGTATATTCTAGAAATTTCTTGTTGAACAGTATATAAGGGTAAAGTAGCTTGCTGTAGGCATTCAGTTTATTATTTAGTTAAGGATCTGTTATGCGAAATTCGATGGATACATAAACACGACGCATTGTTTTTATCTTTGGAGAATAACTATACGGGCCTAAGCTGGAAAACGTATCTTATAATAGCGTTGAAAGAGACGCACTTTGTTTGTGAATCTATTCAGTGTGTCACGGGGAATAAACATTAACACCAACGCGGTCTTGGATTCCCCACATAAGGTCTTCAACACTGGAGGTCGAAAAGAGAAGAGCACTAATCGGTCTTCATGTCTTTTCAGGAAATGACTATGTTTCCTTTTTTGTAGAAAAGGAAAATAGCTTTTTAGTACGATGGCCTACAGGGGACATGCAGCATGTACTAAGTTTTGCACGCACACAAAAGCAAAGGCGGTTGCAAAATGAATTTCACATGCAGGGGCGTAACTTGGCCAATAGTTTTGGGGGGGTGAAAAGGGCTTCTGCCCTGCAAAACTGAGTGGTGCCCTGCAGACCTCGTAGCAACGGTTTGTCTATAAGTTACTAGTGAAAGCTTTACCAGTGTACACTGGTCTTTACCAAGGACAAACTTCTAAGCAAAAAAAACAAACTTGAAACTTCATTGCCTATGAAATTTCTATTTCTCTACGTGAGCGTAAATTATATTCACTTCATTTAATGTTGGTTTGCAAAATTAAGCTAATAAACAGCTAATTGGGGGGATGGGGGGGTGGGTAATGATGTAGACAGCGGAACAAAATTTAACCCAGTGGGGCTAAGAGTCGAGTTTAGTGAGGTAGGAGGACCCACCATGGTTGGGTCCGACGTGAAGAAATTTTTTGAAAATTATACCTTGTAAAAAGGGCTAAAAAGCATCTTTCAGACAAAAATTTAGCAAAATACTATTGTGCTAAAAGAATTGATTGTTTATTGAAAATATTATTGTTAATTGGGAAAAAACGGGAGGGGGATGTCATGCTAAAACTCTAGTGTTAGACGTTGGGAAAGGAAAGAAACGGCAACCTTTCGTTTCTAATTGCACGTAGTTGTGAATGACAGAGGAAGATGTTGTTTTGATTGGGAGAATTTTTTTCCTGAACAGAAATGTGCAGTTTCTTGTATCAAGAAGGCCAAAATTAAAAATGATACAGAAAGTGATTTACTGACTTAATGCAAATAAAAGAAAAATAATAAAAATATACGTGAAAAAGTTAGCAATTAGATGAAACAAAATCGGTATCTAAACGATTTATTATGTTTTTTATGCACTGTTAAAAGGTAATAGAAAACATGATAAAAAATTCCTATCTTGACCAAAGTGAGGGACTTCAGCCCCTTATTCCCCCCCCCCCAGTGACGCCGTGCTTGTCATGAAAATAATTTACAACTTAAATTAATTTGCATGACTCAACCTTGCCCTCATAAACATATGCATCAATCATTGCATCCATTGGCTATGACTTTCGGTAAGAAATGCAAATAACGGAGCTTTTCCTTACATACCTGTTCCGTTCTCTAAAATGCAATGTCAGGAAGGGAGGTTCATAACAAATACGATATTTCCATTTCAAAATTCCTAAACGGCTCTTGACGAACTTCAGAGGTGGCATTTCTGCGTGGCAATAAAGCTCTTCTTGGCGCCCTGCGAAATCGACTATTTTTTGGATTGGGGGGGTGTCACACCCCCCCACACCCCCCCGGTAGTTTCGCCCCTGTTCACATGCACAAATTCATTTACATGATCACAAAATATAACTGCAGCACACTAAGTAAATGTTGCAGCATACACTAAGTCTAACCTGCAGCATACACAAAGTCTGACTTCACAAACGACGTGAGGTAGAAATTTTTTTTGCAGAAATCTGAAGTTGAGCAGAAAATAACCGATTTAAGCTTGCTGACACCGTGTCTATCGAATTTAAAGCTCCGCATCAAGCGATTTACTTATGTGGCATCCATTTTTAGACATTATGGACAACCCAGCTAATCGTGGATGGGATGAAAGAGGATCAGTTGTTTGGAGTGATGTATGCTACCCAGATGATGTTGCAGAGCTGTTGAATAACAAAATTGTGTCTACCGATGATGGCGACAGGGCAAATATAATTGACGGCAATGATAGCGAAAGCGATTTTGATGAAGATATCATTGATTTGTACGATGTGTCATCATAACAAATTCATAAAAGATACATTCTCTATACATAGTGTGCTGAAGACGTGCTCACACATGTTTTGTGGGAAATTAGAAAATTATAAGTATGTATAAATTTAGTTATTCGTTTGTTTAAGGAATCAAATTAGATACTTAGAGATACACTAAATTTAAGAGCCTCGTGGAAACAGACAATCAGGAACCATAATGCACACAGCATCCTGCATGATGCACAGGCACGTGGTTAAATCGCAGTAAAAAACCGTAAATTAAGAAGATTGGTATATTAATCAGTATTATTAGATAAATGGGACAATTTCGTATATAAGATTCAAATAGAAACACTAGAAAAAGAAACGAAGTAGAGTTAGAGTAGAGTCGTTCGAACTGTAGGTAAAGGAAAGGACGAGCAACGCAGAGTCTCAAAACAATTGTACGTGGAATTCAGCAGAAAATTAAAAATGTACGAAAACGATATGGTATTTTTCTTGAGAGATTCGGTTCACTTCTGAAACCTCTTTCGAATAAGTAGAGTGAAGCAATTAATGCAACACATAGATTGGAGGAAAAGTAGCCTCAAGAATGTTTTGGCACTGATTCTATGAATATTTTTGAAGTTTTGTACCCTGGACACCAGAGCCATAAAAAGTCAAGCGCGGAAATTAGAAGACATGACTTGAGAAGAAAGTTTCAATACTGGACCAAAACTTTATTTTAAGAAAAGTGTACTGTTGGTTGACCAAATACCGTAAAAACTCTATAAAGCCCGGGGGGGGTGGAGTTATTTATATTTTCATTCCTAGAGGGGAGGTTACAAGAGAGAGGAGCTTATTAGAATGGGGGATTATTAATCATCCAGAAGAAAACATATTATAAAAATGCTACAATACTCTAGGATTTCTTCGAAAGGATCAATATCAGTGTTCTCTTGACTTCTAAGGCGCACTAAAAATTCTTTACATGGACCGTATTTATTGCGCCTGATCTAATTATCAGCACAAACGTCAAGAGACCCACTCAATGCGCATCTTTTCTTTGTTTGCCATCAACGGCTAAATATGGGAGGGCTTAATAAAGAGGAGGCTCATATAAATTTTGGTTTGGGTAGCGGGCTTAATAGAAAGAGGGCTTAGGGGCGCTCAACAGAGCTTTTACGGTAAGTGAAAAGGGTCTGCAATCAAATCTATTTTTATAGCAACCAGACTAATGTTGCTCTGCACTCTCAAATCATGGAAAGCTAGGGTGTACACCATTCAATAACAATAAAGCAACACTTTCAATGGCTTAGCAATGGATGAGATATGAGACACTGGGCTAAATAGGGAGCTAAAAAGGGGGCAATGTGGTAGAAGGATGTTATCTAGCTATATCGTCCAAGCACATGACAACGCCTTTTCTACTAAGAATATTGAACATTTTGGTACTTTAGTATGTTTTATAGCTTGTGTTTGACAACCTCGACTTTCCTTTCTTTTCTCCAAGGAGAGAGGTTCATGAGAAAGCTCTTACTACTCAACCATTTCGAGAAAAAAATTTATCTGGAAGAGGCAATTTTTTTCCCGCGACTCTTTACATCTCGAATGATAGAGATCTGGTTTTATCATTTCCTATCAGACTAGAAGGTGAATTTTTCGACTTATCCATATTCTTGCAGGCCAATATTATTCCTCAATTATAAGCAAAGAAGCGCTTGCACTTTGGTTACTAACACAAAATGCCATTTTTCAGCATTTAAGGGAACATGGCTAGTCAAGATTTTTCATTTTTCTTCCTCGCACCTATGAATCTGTCAATACGGATATGGAATATTGTCCTATCAAATGATCACACTTTGTGAAAACTTCGAAACATGAAATAGCCAAATGACACAAAAACATGAAATGTCCAACCAAATCCCCTCGCTTAGAAAAAGTTACTTTGCCTTTTATGATGTTCAACTTCCTCCGCAGCCTCTTTAGCAGCCTCTTCCATCTTTCCCTCCCGTCTTTCCTACCCATCTACCCCTTCCATCTATCCAGTTTGAAAGTACAGATTATATCTCTGACAAGAACGAAATAATAGCGAGACAAGAATTGATCAAAAGTTATCTTCTGTTTTTAGGACGCTATATCTTATAAAGGCCTCGCTGGGAAGCGTTCCAGGCAAGAATGTCAATCAGCAATGCAATGCAATGAAGAAATTTACTTTGGTTTACGAGCCTAAAGCCTGATTTACACGAGACGAATTTTTCGCGCGAAGCGAATTTTTCGCCACGAATTTTTCTCCTGCGAATTCGCTGCGAATTCGAAGTTTAATTTCCACTAGCAGAATTTCTTTTGCGAATTCGCCGCGAATAATGCCAAATAAAATGGCGTCTGTTCGAAGATTGTTGTTATTGAAAAAAAGCGAGCAAAAAAGCAAATAAATGGGTACTTGGTTCGGAAAATTTATTCAGAACGTCTGCAGAAGGGGGAGTTTCATCTTTTGGTAAGTGACTTACGCTTTCATTGTCAGGAATAAATGGTGGAAACATTCAAAATACTTAAATCTGCAGCTTGGTTATTTCGACATCACAGTTTCTCGATTCTTAGTTTGTATACCCTTGATTTTTGTTTTTATGCTCTAATTAAATCATTTGCTTTGATTTCAGCAAGGAAATCTTTATTATTCAGTCTATTTACCAACTTTAATCAATTTCTTATAGAGGAGTCGTATTTGGTAAGACTTACGTTGCTTGTTCAAAGGAAATGGAAGAGCGATATTTTAATCGTCGTGCGCTATGCCATCAAGCCAGAAATGGAAAATTTTTACAATCGGCTCCATAAAGACGTTCGGCATTTTGCAATCTTTTCAAAAACAAAAGAATGTATGATGCAAATTGCAAGAAAATTGCACAGACTTGTAAGAGCAATGCCTCAAAACTTTTAGGAATCAAAACTTCAAAATGATTGACCTTAAGGCAGACGGAAGGCTTACTTTCCTTGCAAAGACACGAACCAAATGTTCAGGGGCGAAACTACCGGGGGGTGTGGGGGGGTGTAACACCCCCCCAATCCAAAAAATAGTCGATTTCGCAGGGCAATCGAAGATTTTGCAGGGCGCCAAGAACGGAACAGGTATGTAAGGAAATGCTCCGTTATGCATTTTAGAGAACGAAACAGGTATGTAAGGAAATGCTCCGTTATGCATTTTAGAGAACGGAACAGGTATGTAAGGAAAAGCTCCGTTATTTGCAATGCGAAAGCATTTCTTACCGTAAGTCATAGCCAATGGATGCAATGATTGATGCATATGTTTATGAGGGCAAGGTTGAGTCCATGCAAATTAATTTAAGTTGTAAATTATTTTCATGACAAGCACGGCGTCACTGGAGGGGAATAAGAGGCTGAAGGCCCTCACTTTGGTCAAGATCTGGAGGGGAATAAGAGGCTGAAGGCCCTCACTTATAATTGTTTCTATTACTTTTTAACAGTGCAGGAACTAAAAAACATAATAAATCGTTAAGATACCGATTTTGTTTCATCTAATTGCTAACTTTTTCACGTATATTTTTATCATTTTTCTTTTATTTGCATTAATTCAGTAAATCACTTTCTGTATCATTGCAATGTTTTAATTTTGGATGTGTAAACATGGCCTTCTCGATACAAGAAACTGCACATTTCTGTTCAGGAAATAAAATTCCCCCAATCAAAACAACATCTTCCTCTGTCATTCACAACTACGTGCAATCTAAAACGAAAGGTTGTCGTTCCTTTCCTTCCCCAGCGTCTAATACTAGAGTTTTAGCATGACATCCCCCTACCTATTTTTCCCAATAAACAATAATATTTTCAATAAACAATCAGTTCTTTTAGCACAATAGTAGTTTGCTAAATTTTTGTCTGAAAGATGCTTTTTAGCCCTTTCACAAGGTATAATTTCAAAAATTTTCTTCACGTCGGACCCAACAGGTGGGTCCTCCTATCTCACTAAACTTGATTCTTAGCCCCACTGGGTTAAATTTCGTTGCACTGTCTACATAATGTACCCCCCCCCCCAATTAGCTGTTTTTTAGCTTAATTTTGCAAACCAACATTAAGTGAAGTGAATATATAAAAACAATTTACGCTCACGTAGAGAAATAGATATTTCATAGGCAATGAAGTTTCAAGTTTGTTTTTATTGCTTAGAAGTTTGTCCTTGGTAAAGACCAGTGTACACTGGTAAAGCTTTCACTAGTAACCTATAGACAAACCGTTGCTACGAGGTCTGCAGGGCACCACTCAGTTTTGCAGGGCAGAAACCCTTTTCACCCCCCCAAAACTATTGGCCAAGTTACGCCCCTGGC